TCAATGTGATGTATGGTTTTACTTACCAGCAGTGCAGCTGAGTGAACTGGAATTAGCATTGCTAAGCACTATCTGACCTAATAATAATAATAATAATAATAATAATAATAATAATAATAATAATAATAAAGTTGGGTCAAAAGTATGTGTTGATGTGGTTGATTGAAACTAATATCAATGGTTTTTAAAATTATATAAGCATTTTAAGAATGTCTGTGAAGCAATAGTTTGTGTCAATTGGATTAAAATGATCAATAAAAACATTCTAATTGTCTTACAAGTGTTGGAGTTTGGAGAGAGAGAGGCCAATGCAAATGAAGTGAGGAAGATAACAAAAAGAAGATAAATGAAGAGATTACTGAAGTACAGCATCTGCCCATACTTGAACCACTTGTAATGCAGCAGATTAGCAGCTAGTGGATGCTTCAGTAATTCAACACTTTTTGAATTAGCCTAATAATAATAATTATTATTATTATCATTAATATTCTCTTACTAGTATTTGTAGACAGTGATCCTGCCTTGAGTAACCAACTGGTCCCCAAGTAGTTTGATACCCAACATTCCCTTCATTATCATCACCTATCGCTCTTCCTCCTCCTCCACCACCTTCTGTATCTTCATCAAAATCTCCAGCACTAGAGGCCACCTCTTCTATTGGGACTGAACGCCTTGGAAAAAAATCACAAGTAAATTGTACACTAGCTTAATTGACAATAAAATCATCATGTGACATGTGTATAAATATGTAGTTTTAACTCACCTTCTTGCTGTTCTGGTCCTCGTAAATCTTCTTGAGTATCCTGAGTCAACTCTAAAGTCCTCAAGAAACTCGTAAATGAAGTTTATCTTATAGTCAGGATGATCAATGCTGGATACAGCATCCTCGTTTGTCTGGCAGCAACGGTTGAAAACAACCTCAGCAACATCTAAAGGAAAGAGTACAATATGTATTTGTTTCTCTCCTTCTGTCTCTCTCTTTCTTGTTTGCTTCTCTCCCCCTCTCCTTTTACCAGGCATTTTGCGTATGATACGTCTCATTGGTGTGGTAAAAGTGGCTCCGCCCATTGCTCCTCCTCCAACTGCACTATTTGTACTTTGATCAAAATAGGTAACATTGCGAAGTGCTGACATCCACTGGTTGCTCGTGACAATAGCCATGGCAACATCCCTAATAGCAAGAGTGAAAATCACCTTCTAGCTTTTCCTCTCTCTCTCTCTACTTTTGTCCATTTTCAATGGCGACATCAAGAGCATTAAATCCTTTAGAGTCACATATAGATACTTTGGCTCCGTTTTCCAACAATACATTAACAACTTTAATGTGACCTGCCTTACAAGCTACATGAAGTGGTGTAGCCTGATGAAGGAAAGAGAAGCTAATGAAACCACATCAATCATTGAATGTGACTCACGTTATTGATATCTCTTGGATCAACTTGAGCCTCAGCATCAATCAGAAGTTGAACGATTTGAACTCTACCAGACTCGGCAGCACAGTCCATTGGAGTCCATTGGCGTGCATTCCTAAAAACAAAAAAATCATGTGCTTCCTTAAGTTCCTTTCTCATTGTTATCAATGACTTTTTGTTGCTAATTTTGAGCAATTTTCAATATTAACTATGGCTAAATTTTTAACTTTTAAAATAGCTCACTTTCTACAGAATTGATATTTACCCTGTACATAGCTTTGACCAGTTTTTAGAGCAACTTTAAAAATTAATAAAAAATCTAATTTTGATTGGAATTAGCTTAAACTTTCTACACAACTTAAGTACAAGCATATGTATTAGAAAAATTTATAAAACTCAAAAATTCTCACTTTTTCATTTTTGGCAAAATTTGGCTAATGACAGTGTACTATATACAGGGACTTTAGTCCGATTTTGAAGTAACTTAAAAATTTTCAACAAATCCAATTTTGATTGGAATTAGCTCAAATATTTACATAACATGAGAGCTTTATTATATCAGATAAAATTGTAAAAATATTCAAAACTTATCAGGTTTTACCATTCATGACATGACATACTCATACTAATATTTTCATTCCCATACCTGTCTTCAGGATCAGCTCCAGCTAGTATGAGTGCTTTTGCTGCTTGAAACTTTTCATTGATACAAGCCAAATGCAGAGCAGTATTCCCATCATCATCTTCATCTTTAAGAATATCCTTATCATTCTCCTCAGCATAATGCAATAACTCATTTATAACACTAATAATTAATGAATGGGTGTGGTTCAAAGTTAGTTTCAAAAGTTGGTGAGTCTTACTTCGCATGACCAGCTACTGCTGCTAAGTGGAGTGGAGTCCTCTCAGCCTCGTTACGAGCATCAACTTTTAAATGGGAAGCCTTGAGCAAAATCTAAGTAGTGCAATGATTTGTAAAATTATATTAGATCATATTTGCAGTATCTATGATTAGATCATCTACACATGTACTCTCTCTTTGTAAACACATGTACCTCTCACTCCTTCTCACCCTCTTACTCTCTCTCTCTCTCTTTTTACCTTCAATGAGTTAATGTGTCCTTTCTTGGCAGCAATGTGCAATGGAGTATTGTGAATGGCGTCAGGAGTATTGACCAGTTCGCTGCCCCACTTCTCATACACACCCAATACAAGAGCCTATACAAATGCACTGATATCATTCCATTAGAGCATAAGGTTGCCTTAAGGTCAATTAGTTCATGTGAACTGTCAAAGGCTCTCACTAATAATTCCTCTTCAGTGTTGACACTACTATGTACAATCTACCTCATTATAAAGGAAATCATTGGATAACTTGGCTCATAAAATGCACTAATGAGTGCATCAAAGGCCATTTTTTGGCTGCTATATATTATATTAGACATCAATTATAAGCTGACTCCTACCTCTAATATTTGAACTTGATCTTCTTCAGCTGTAATGAATACGAGAGATTTGCCATTTCTGTCAACATCATCAGTTGAAGCTTTGGCATTAATGAGAGCCTTCATTGCCTGGAGTTGACCATAAGCTGCTGATGTGAGCAATGGAGTGTATGAGTCTGTGTCCTGACACTCAATGTCTGCACCTCTGGAGAGAGAAAGAGATGGGGAGAAGAGAGAAAATATAATGAAAATGAAAGATAGATAAATCTATAAACATGGTTTAAGATAATCAATTTAAACCAAGTCTCTAACATGATACTATGTACAAGTATACCCATATAATACTCTATATAGGCTACAATTACTGCTCTACTGTTTTCCAAATTACACGCCAGCCATAACTCACTTATGCAATAAAAACTCTATCATCTTTACTTTACCAAACTGTGCAGCATAATGAATGGGAGAGAGTAGGTTGGCGTCAGCAATATCAATCTCAGAGGCATCATTCTGAAGTAGGACAGAAGCAATATCAATGAAGCCCTCTTTAGCAGCAATATGAAGAGGAGTGACATCGTGCATTCGGCAAGCAAGAGGATCGGCATTGTTGAGTAAAAGGAGCTTCACAATTTCACAATTACCACTCTCACAGGCAAAGTGAAGTGGAGTATTGTACTCCTTGTCTTTCCAGCTCATCATGTCAATTCTCTTGTCAAAGCACATTATCATAATAATCT